CAAACCCTGCGCCTCTGCACTGTGAGGCCGACGCGCTAACCAGTAGACCACTGTGCTGCCCTGTTAAAAATCCTAAATAGTCAAATATACCAACCGGAAACCAGGCTTCCTGGGACTTAATATTCTAACATGGGGGCTTAACTTATGACTTTTGTAGTAAGAGTTCAACATGTTTCCCGTAGTGGAATTCATTTCATATACAGCATGGCCATCATAATTAAAAGTAGTGCTTTTTGTATCAAGCGACCTTGGGCCTACATAAAAACGTTTATTGAGGAGGCAGAAGAACCATATTTGCAAACTTCAACTTGAGCCAAAACAACTACATAATGCAGCAGAATCATGATATTTATTCCACCCAGCCAGTCAGCAAAGCAAAAAAACATCAAGACTATTAAGGGAAAAAAAAAATCTTGGTGGGCTTCAAATATTTTCAAGCTTACATACTGCTCCTAGGATTTTTCATAGTGTGATGTGGTAGTACTTTATATAACTCAAAGTCAATGTGTTTCTGGGGCGTTGCCCATTATGTCACCCTACTCCATTGTGCAAACCCAAAGTCCAAGGCTGTCACAACAGGCTTCGAATCCACACCAGTGCTTTGCTTTAAATATGGCAACCTAGGTAGGGACACGGACTACTGCATTTGTTCTGGCAATTAGTTTCTGGGAATATGTTCAATTCCCCCCCAACTTGGTCTGACTAGAGGTCACAGGCCCACACCAAACATTGGCACAATAGTGTGATTGTTCCGAAGGAGAGAATGTAAAATAATCCTTGGGTGACTAATTTCCATCACGGCAATTTTCCGCAACACATTTATGTTGTTTGTTTTGAGATGAGCTCTCGCCATCACGAGGAAGGAAGTAACGCTACGCTTGATTTGAGCCCGTAAAGACGCCAACACAACGATCGCATGGAACGTTGTTGACAAAACTATCAACGTTGCCCCAAGCTATTTGTCCGGGAAAAAAACAATGTTCTGGACGTGAACTTGTTGAAGAAAAACTCAATGAACATCAAGCTCTGTTTCGCCTCTTTAGCACTGATAATTAATGATCACCGCCACCTTTAATAAGCATCAAAGTCAGTAAATGTGCAGCAATGAAGCGACGGAACACGCAAATGTGCTGAAGCACTGATGAGTAAAGTGCAGAGCAAGTGAAGGCAAGCGGTGGAGGAAGGAAGGAGTACCGTGGCAAAGCACGATTGAAGTTCATTTGGTGGAAAACATTGAAGCAGTGTCCTGCTCTGTGCAGAGTGCTTTTCTTGACATCTGGCTTTGATTCCCTCTCCAAGCGACCATCCCAGTGCATCATTATGATTGTAGGGACGGACTCTTCCACAGCTGGCCTTCCCCGAGCGCTATGTCCGTCATATTTTAAAACCGCTCAGCTGCACGGATGATGCTATACTGACGACATTGTGGATTAAAGATCAGAGCCCCAGGTGGAAATGTGTTTATGAGTGCAGGGTAATTAAATCTACAAAGAGACAATGTGTGTAAGCATGAGTGCACACAAACTAGAGACCTCTGCCAAGGCTTCAACATGTGTCAGCAGCTATGCTCTTAGGAGCGGAGATACGAGATCAACACAGGCTCGACAAATGACTACGTGATTTGACGAGATTTGATATTCCTTTCCATCAAATGTGGAGTCTGGATCCGAACTGGATCAGATGTGTTTTGACGTAAGGGGCCCTAACTTCATGCTCAGCACAAGTGTAGCTCAAAGTGCTGTGTAAGCATGCACAAGGGAGGAGTTTTCTTTCTTTTGGTATTTTGGTAAACGAGCGCAGGTGGAAAGGGGCGTTTGCGCCGTTGTGGGAGGGAACATAACCGACTCGATTGCCATCCAGTGGAAGCGACTCCACTCATTCCCTTTAACCAGATGCTGCAGTCGATGTAAATAAGTTTATAAAACGCAACATACAATTTTACAAAAATTGTAAAAGTATTATTCCTGAATATTTATTTTACTTTCAACCACTCGACATGTTCAGTGGCATCAGTGCTATACATACACATATAGTTCTTATTTTTTTCTTTGTATTTTTGCCCTCTATGGACAATTAAAGCGGTAGCTATGACCAAAACATTGGTATTGTGCTATGACCAAAACATAAATATAAATCTATATAAATAAAACATGAATTGGAATATTTCATATCACACAATTTTTATGCTTTGTCTTTGATTTAAAGATGACAATACGCAAAAATCTACAAAAATTGTAGAAATCGTAACACATGGGTTACGGAGACACACACCGTCTACATAGGGGCATGCGCAAATTACGTTGATAAAAAAACTCCAAGAAGATCTCTCTGAGCAAATGATGACATTCTACCACAGTCCATATTTATCTAACCAGGCATCATCTGCCCCAAAAATACTCATCCTCATCCTCATGAGGGTTGTTGGCATGCTGGAGCCTATCCCAACTGTCTTCGGGCAATAGCATGACACACAAAGACAAACAAACATTCGCACACACAATCAAACATATAGACGATTTAGAATGACCAATTAATTAACCTCCCATGCATGTTTTTTAATTGTGGGAGAGAACCGGAGTACCCGGAGAAAACCCACGCAGGCACGGGGAGAACATGCAAACTCCCACATGTGAAGGCCGGGGCCCAGAATTGAACCCATGACCTTTTCACTATGAGGCGGACATGCTAACCAGTCGTCTACCGTGCCGCAAAAATAGTCATTAAAAATTCATTAATATGAACAAATCGTACGTGTAAATTTTATTTTGCAGTGCAAAATATGCTTCAGTTTATTGCAGCCAGCTGTTTTTCTATTGTTGATGAAGCCTGGTGACACATGCTGCTGCTCTCTTTTTGTAAATCAAATACAAGAAAAAAAAAAAGAGCAGCCAGACACTAAAGTGACATGAAATCTGATCCGCTCATCAAAGCACTCAAATATGCGTCGGTCCAGACTCCTGACAGACACACTTAGTCTCTGGTCTGGCGTCTCCCTGGGGAACATCTCAATCATGATAATTAAGAAGATGTATACCATAGGTTTTTGTTTTTTGTTTTTTTTTTAATGGTCAAGTCATTCTCGAACATAATTTTCTCAACCACTACGTCATGTTTTTTAAACCGGTATTGCTAGAACTGTTTTTTTCAAACAAGAACTTCATACCGCTTGCATTCACTTTGAAATGAAAACAAGTCTTACCCGCTACACATAATATAATGACATCCAATTCAACATATAGTGACAGCTGTGAAAAGACTGATTTGTGTTTCTGGTGCTAAATCTGCCTGGCAACAGTCATTTGGAGTGTGATTATGATGCTGTAAACTTTTCAAAATATGACATACTTTCTTTGGGTTTTCAAGCATGAAAACAGATACAAATGAAGGCGGCGAGCAGAGCTGAATGAGTCACCTGCATCCCCTTTTTTATTGGCAATTCCTCAAAACGATCCTAAACTTTGACGCCAAGCAAAAACACATCACAATTTAGTGTCGTCCATCTGTCTGGAATACCTGTTTCTGATTGGAGCTCATTTGGGCTAGTTCCTTGGACGAAATTTGTCGAGGTACGACTCCTGGATTTCACAAGTAATAATACTGCTGCTTGTAAGCAAAATGGCCAATTTCCTGTTAAATTTCAAGCAGGAATCTTATCGACTTTTTTATGCAGTCTGTTTTGATGAACTCGTCTATTCCATTTTATGTCGATCAATTAAATAGATGGTGGGGACATCCTGCTTTTTTTTTAAAACTTTCCAGAGGCTGCTACTAAGTGAGTTTTGCGGTGGTCATGTTGGCGACCTGGTGAGTTTTGGGGCATGGCGTAATAAATGTCAAAACTAGGGAGTTGTCCATGGGTGGAAATAAAACAATTTCTCAACTTTGTAAGGGGGCACTACTTCATGTGGTTTTGAAAGTTGTGCTTAGGACCCCTGAAAGCGCTATATAAATCAGGATGTATTGTATTGTTTTGTAAAATCACGCCATTTTGGCACCTTGAAACCTCCAAAAAGGCCATTAATTCGTCTGAAGAATAAATAATGAAAAGTAATCCATGAAGTTGCTACTGAGCCCACGAAACACCGTGTGTGCTAATATATGCTCAAGCGAGTGGCAAAAAAGAGCTAACTACAAGGTTATTTTAACAACTTTGCAGGAAAACTCCCTGCATTACATTTCTCAAGTTTTACGCAGTGTGGAAATGGACTTGAATGGCGTCTCGATGGCCCCCCAGACACCAGAAACTATGCTCATGTTGACAGTTGGGGAAAAAGTAAAGACTCTAAGGAAGCGGTGGAGATGTGGAACAGTTGATGCACAAAACAGGTGTGGGTCGTGCACAATAACGTGAAGCTTTTATTGCCAGTTGTTCTCCTGTGACAACATGCAGCCCGTGTGCGATGCACAAGCTCAGCTGGAAAGATGCCCAACAACCACATTGAACTTTGTGGGCAATAAAACTTTGTTTCTCCTCATGTTTTCTGAGGATGCAATGCCACCAGAGGGAGACAAATTCAGTTTGTTTGTTTTTTTTTGTTTTGTTTTTTTACTTGGCCATAGGTGTGCATGTGAAGTGTGAATGGTGGTTTGTCTTTCTGTGCCCTGCGATTGGCTGGCGACCAGTGACAGAGGGTATGCTGCTTCTGGCCTTGACGTCAACCGGGATAGGCTCACTTGCAAGTCGACTGAGGATAAGTGCCGGTATATAAAATGACCGGATGGTATAGGACTCACCAAGATCGTCACAGCAGACCTCCATGGAGTCTGAGGAACAGTCGCTCAGGTCCTCTAAGGTTCCCCGTGGCTCCTCCTGATCCTGACACCTACAGTAAAGTATCATTTGTAAAAAAGATGCAATTTTGCCTTTGTTTCAATTAAAACAATTCCTTAATAAAACTTAATGAAACTTAAAAAATGCTCATAGGGGCCGTGCTGTTTGTCACTCCTACCACCACCCATTCCACTGCAGGGAGCATGACCATGACAATTACAAAGCATGAATTCTTGTCGAAACATCCATCCATCCATTTTCCGATCCGCTTTATCCTCACAAGGGTTGTGGGGGGTGCTGGAGCCTATCCCAGCTGTCTTCGGGCGGTAGGCGGGGGACACCCTGAACTGGTTGCCAGCCAATTGCAGGGCACACAGACAAGAACAACCATCCGTGCTCACAATCACACCTAGGGACAATTTTGAGTGTTCAATCAGCCTGCCATGCAGGTTTTTGGAATGTGGGAGGAAACCGGAGTACCCGGAGAAAACCCACGCAGGCCCAGGAAAAACATGCAAACTCCACACAGGGAGGCCGGAGCTGGAACCCGGTCCCGCTGCACTGCGAGGTCGACGCGCTAACGACTGGACCACCGGGCCGCCCTTTTCAAAAGAATACATTGGAGAGTCCCAAATCGAACAGGATGTGGCATGTCCGTTAACTTCAGTTGAGTTTTTATGGTAGTTGGTGGATGTATCCTGTTAGCTAATCTGTGCAACCAAGAACAGGGTTTAGCTTCTGCTTTTGATGTGAACATGGATCCATGTAAAATGCATCCTTTGTGAAAGAAAAAAAAAAAAAGAAAATGGCAGCTCTTCAGTCATGGGTGGAGAAACTCAATGGGAGTGCTCAATTATTTGAATTAGTCATATTGTGACATTACTGTCTGGTGAATATCTGAACGGCTTGCTTTGAGACCCATTTAGCGACATAGGCCACGTATTAAACATTTCAGCATTTTTCAGCAAAGGCTATTGGTTCTCTCTGAAAGATGTTCCTGATTTGTTTATCCAGTGTTCGGTAGATTCAGTGCAATTTCAATCCAGGTATTTCCAACGGCAGATTGTTCCATTTCTTTTTCTATTACAACGATATTTGTTTCTTGGTATTTTCCAACAGTCTGAATGCCCTGTGTCACTGGTGCTGCCTCTCCCAGGTCATTCTTATATAGTGTATATAACAAACATCGGGCTTGGGGGTAAGAGCATGCATGTACATTATTTTCGTAGTCATATGTGGGGTCTGGCATTTTTAAAATTGGTTAAGATCGTGTGGTATGTGTGTATGCATCTTAACTTGGTTAATTAATTTCCCAGTTGATGGGTGGGCAAGCACTCTCGAAAAACCAAATGTGTATTATCGTCAATTGTTCTAATAATAATACTGTATAGCTTTCCTCACCTGTACCTGAATGGGGCGACAGCAGCCATGTTGACCCTTCCCGGAAGTTTTGTTTTGGAAGTACTCCTTCCCTGGTCAGAGATGCTCCTCACATCTCCTTGAAAGCTCCCTACTCCCTCCAAAGATTCCACATTCCTATTTCCTCTTTTGGCGTGATGTTTCCGGGAAAAGGCAGCTTCGTCCGCACTGTGAGCGTTGTCCACATTTCTCTGCCGGTATTTGCCAAAAGTCCAGTTCTTGTTTGTGTTCCTTCGAATCTGAAGGTCTCGCAGAGCTCCTGTGTGGATGTCCAAGGTGTCCTTTGAACGAGAGGCTTCCCTCTTGGGAATGCGAGGGCTGCTGTACGCTGAGCACGTTCCATCACTCCGCTGCGTGGCTGCTGCCGGGCTCCTTTGCGAATATACGCTGGAACTTTGGTGCAGAAGGTTCCTCAGAGACGAACCTCTCAGCAGTAGCTCGGAGGATCCAGAGGAACGGGACGGAAGTCGTCTTGTGGAATGCTGGAAGTGCGTGGTGGGATTTGGGAGGCCACCGTATGGCATTTTGGGGTCGGCTTTTGAGAGAGGCATCCTGCTTCGGCGTAGACGCTAACCAGCTGCTGCTCTAAGATGGCTACGCCTGCAGAGACAAAATAAAATGGATTCATTACATTCAGAATTATCCATATTATTTGCTTGGGGGTACAGTGGGCTCGTCGTTAGCACTAAACCGTTCAGAGGTTTGGGTTCAAATCTCAAGTCAGGTCTTTCGATGTGGAGTTTGCATGTTCTGTCCGTGCTTGCGCAGGATTCAACTTTGTGCGATTGTTTCATCAGATGTCAAAACCTTTCAGAAATTCCCAAGACATTTGTTAAACGGTACAGAGTCAGCTTGCTAACTGAATCATTTGCCAAGTCAAGATCCACCATGTGCTCATTAAATCCTTAAATTAAGATGTTATTAAATGTAATTACTCTGGCAGCAAGCTCGCGTTTTGCTGTTTGCATGCACATTGTCTGCTTGCGATGAGTGTATTTTAAAAAAATGTGGGAGCTTGAACAATTTGCATTTCTAATGGCATAACATTTACTTAACACAACGAATATGAAGTTCAGTGGAAAACCTTTTGGGGATGAAATGCTCAAGTCTCAAAAGAATCTTCTGCTGATTTTGACTCACACTTCAAATGACGGTTGGATTATTTTGGGACAAAGTGGCAGCATGTCAGATAAAAATGGCACCAGAAGTATTATTTAGTCATAATAAGGGTGATGGTTTACCCACTAATGGCGACAGTGCAAAACGGGGCGTCTGGGCCACGGACGGAACGTTTCTGACCGCAGACTTGCTGACGGAATGGGACAATAAACGACAGCGACGGGGGGAATTGGAGCGGATGCTTTTGAGGAGTCGAGCCACAGAGTCGCCAGTCGATGAAACTTGAACGCTTGCTTGAGGGGACTTAATAAATGACACAACAAAGGTAGAAAATACACTTCAAACGGCGGCATATGGTTGTAATGCAGACGTGGTCCTCGAATGTGTGAAACATGCTGTGACTGACACGCTTCGGCTCACGCAGCATGAGGAGGATGGCCCCTTTAAGACCGTGCCAACACTGCAGTCTGCCACATTTCAAAGATGTAGTGCGTGCAGGGGGAGAACGGGGGCTTCGTCGCCACATATTCCACAAACATGGTGTACATCCATCCATTTTCTATAGCCCTGATAATGGCCTTGAGCAGCTGGAATTTATTCCAGCTGACTTTAGACAAACTACACCCTGAGAGTAGTTGTCGGTTAATCACAGGTCATATTTAGAAACAAACAAGCATTGACACTGTCACGGAGTAGGAACTGAACCCACGCTGTCTACACCAAATTTCAAATGTTGCTAGGTACTCTGGCTTTCGATCACATTCCAACAATAGATGTCAGGTTCATTGGAGACTCTAAATCAGCAGCCACGAACCGTTTTTGAAAGTGAAAGCTACTTTTTGGATACTGATTAATGCGAAGCCTTCCAGTGTTATACACACTTCTGAAATTGAACAAATATGCTCCAAACTGAACACATTGTCTCAAATACTATTTATTATATGTTAATAACCACAAATTATATTCATAAATGTGAAAACATTGATCAAGTAAATCATTTCTCACATTTATCAACAGTGATTTAACAAGGTAGGAAACAAATAAAGACGTAACACTCAGCACAAAAACGGCCATAACTTCATTTTTGTGACAGTGCAAGTCTGGTCTACTAGTTTTGTGTCATGGATATGCAAAGGTAGAGGGCCCAAAAACAGCGAGACAGGAGAAGCAGGGCGTACTGAACAAAATGCATTAACAGAAACACTTGCACGGGTACACTGAAAACAACTAAGTCAATTCCACTGACAAAGTCCTGAAAAAATTCCAAACTCAAAGTAACAACAAAACAGCAGGAAGTAAAACACACCACTATGACAAACAAATGAACATGACAGCAACAGAAACAAAACAACATGATAGTAACACAACAGTCCGACAGCAAGTGGTCATCGTGGCAGCCCTTAAGTAGTCAGGTGATGATAATGGCAATGACAAACAGAAGCTGCGCCTACTCAGAGAACAAAAACAAACAAATCCTGAACACCCCCCACCCCCCACTCCGACTCAAGGGACGGATCCCAGACGTGCGAAAATGGCTCAGTAACAAAGCAGGAACGGATGACGGCCACAGGATGTGCGCCACCTGAACAGGAACGGATGGCGTCTGCATGACATTTTGGGGCTATGTTGCACCTTTCTGGGAGTTCTGGCGCACTGAGTTGCCTTTCCCTCCACTCATCCGACAATTTGCTAACAAAGTAGTCTGCGCTCAACATAAAAAAGAGAAATGTCACCTCCCAATTTTTTTTGCACACCATTATCTATTCACAACAAAAAATGCCACTGGTTTTATCTTGAACCATGTCGTTTGCATGATGACAACAAATTTGCCCTCTTGAAAGGCATGTCGTGGGTTCACAAATCAAAGGTGACCCTTCCCACCAGAGGATAAGCGCGAAGCAGTACAATGAGCAGCGACGGCTGCTGCTGGGAACCTATAATCATCCACAATAAAAAAAATAAATAAATAAATAAAAATATACTTGCACCAGGATCCACTCACTGCAGCTCATAATACTTCAGAGGAGTCCATTTGCTCAATGCTATAAAAAGCTCTTGTTATGAAATATAAATGACCAAACCTGGCAGAAACATTTCAGACGTTATTCTCCTCTCTGAATCTTCAGCATGAAGTGACATTGTATTAAAATTTGGATTATTCCATGGCCTCTTACGCCAGAAGAACAGTTGAACAGGTGCATTGTTATCACTGTGTGTTTCCATTTTCTCAACAATTCTTGATCCACTTTTTATATATAGCAACATTGCTCATTTCCTTTCCCAGTGGCCGAAAAGCTTTGTCTGAAAGGAAGTCTGCAAAACACATGGAGGATCACACACAAACACTCACATGCTCGATGCGTGCACGCGCGCGCGCGCGCACACACACACACACACACGCACGCACGCACGCGCACGCACGCACACACACACGCACGCACGCACACACACA